CGTATGAGTTTGATTGCATTGAGAGGAAACAGGATCCTTTGAGGTGGAACTAAGTTAGTTGAAAAGTGTTGTTTGGGCATAAGCCTCAGAAGAGTAAAAAAGGCCTTTGCCTTTGTTAAAGTTGTGACCAGGGGGCACAACAGGGTTGTGGAAGGAGGAAGTTAGGCTTCTTCAGGTCAGGCTGTGTGGGGATCAGGAGTGAGTGCTCCCCTGGCTGCTCACAGGTCTCAAATAAGTATCAACAAGTCAGGTTCCACCTGGATGTGTCCCTATTCTCAATGCAGTTTCATGGAGGGAGGAAGTAGGATCTTATTTTCTGTTTGGTAAGCTTCAAAGTTCTATAAATGGCAGAGGGCACACTGGTTATGTGTTGGGCTGCTAACAGCAAGGTCAGCAGTGTGAAAGCATTAGTTAGTCCAAGGGAGAAAGATGAGGTTTCTGCGCCTGTAAAGAGTTAGTCTCGGAAACCCAGAGCAGTTCTACCAGGTCCTATAGGGTTGCTATGAGTCCGCATTGACTTGATGGCAGTGAATTGGTTTGGAATGATGATGATGTTTGTCTCACCCTTTGCACAACAAGATGAAGCACTGCCCTCTCCCACGCCATCCTCGCCCTTGTTCCTGTGCTTGTTCCAGCCTCTGTGTCCGTCCATCTCAGTGAGGGTCTTCCTCTGTCTCTGCCCTCCACTGTACCAGCATGATGTCCTTCTCCAGGGCCGGTGTCTCCGACAGCATGCCCAGAGTGTGCACGCCCTTGCCACCCTGGCCTCTCAGGAGCACTCTGGCCTTACTTCGTCCAAGACAGGTTTGCTTGCCCTTTTAACAGTCCGTGGTACTGTTGATATTTTTCTCCAGTGCTATAATTCAAATGCATTGATTTTGCTTCTGTCGGTGATAAAAAACAAAACAAAACTCATTACCATCGAATCAATTCTGACAGTACTAATAATCTTAATAGTATGATAATGCTAACAGGTCCAGAGGGCATTCCTAAATATTTGATCGCCTTCCTTCACGGTTTTTATTTTCCAACACTGGTCATCTCAGCTCCTCCTGTAGTGATCCCTTAGTGCCCAGGTTGGTGTCCCTTCTATAGCTTTGTGAAACTGCTTCTCCAGCAGAGGGCGGTATGTGCCCAGGCATCCA